AATGAGAGGAATATTTTACTGTCACCAGCTGTTGTTAACAATTCTGCATTGCTGAATAATTCTCTTCCGGTTGTTGTTATTCAACTTAAATTTGACGTGTTTCAAGATAATGATAATACTTTTTGCCACACATATGCTTAAGTGGTCCAGTAGGTATGATTGATGCCTGTGAATCAGCGACTACCGGTTCGAATCCCAAAATGCAAAGTTTATTTTTAAACTAACAATATCAATATAAATATGAAAATCCAATTAGTCAACACCTTCTTGCAGTCCCATAAAAATATAAAAGATATGAAGTCCATTTTTTTTTTAACTAAAAGGCTGAATAATGGTTGGAAAAAACTGTTATTCAATGCCTTAACAAGCTTATAATGTATACAACTGTTAAGCTTTTGACTGATTAAAATCACCAGATTTAGATGTTTAAAAGCTGAACAAAGGTTAACGTTGTCTATGTACAACAATTATTCAAACTAAGGCTGAATTAAAGTCGATTGAACAACACTTGTTAAGCATGAAATTGTTACCTGGGAAACTTGTTTTCTTCTGTATGTCTTCAAGACACACTTTAAATCTCCGCGTACATCGTACGGGTTAGACAAAAGGTGTGCGTATGACTTTGTACTGTCGCATTAAAGGTCCTTCGCTCATTTTCAACTTCTATTCAATTTTCATACTGCCGTACTCTAACGGAACTATCTACCTACCCTCTCCTAAAGACCATTTCCTAGCTAATAAGTTATCATACTAAGGCTTCATGTTAGATGGCATTTTCAACCAACTCTGGTATAAAATGTTGAAAATTATTTTTACTTTTACTATTAATTTGCATTAACTTGAGAACAGCTAGACTTAGGAAAAAGTTATTGTAAAAAAATTATTGAAAATTATGCGCAAAACTCAGATAAATTATTGTTTTACTAAAAATAAAGCAGTTTCATCAACTATAAAAATAACAATTATTTAAAAAATATAGATTTATTTTTAAAGCAAGATACCAGCCTACACTTTTCTCCAAGTTTTAGAACATTTCTTCAGTTTTCTAGATAGCAAAATTTATTATGATAGAAGGGGGGGTTGAGATAATCAACGTTTTGCATGTTTTTAAATATTAATTAACGAAGTTTTTTTTCGTATGTTTTTCCCTTAAACATAATTCAACTACCTACAACTTCTTTAAAGATGCCATCTTGATCAGATCAATAATTTTCGAGAAATGATTTTTTGAAAAAAATATATTCATTTTTTTTTAATACGCTTTTTCCAAAAGTTACTGTGAAGAAAAAAAAATCACATTCAAAAGAAAAATGCAAACATTGGTAGCAGCAAACAAATGAGTAATGTTTCAGTCAACTCGGAAACACTCATGTCCAGGCATGGAAAATCATTTGAATTCATTTCGTGCATTCATTTACATACATTTGCACCTTACTTTTTTCATTAACAGAATTTCGCAAAATGATTTATGGAGCTTTTGTAGGTTTTGTTATTACCTACAACTTTTGTTAACAACCGTTTCTCTTATGCATGACGAACCAGAGCGAACAGAAGGCACTACTGTTTTTCAGTGAATGTATTTTACATTCACTGAAAAACAGTAACAAGTTCTGCCCGCTCTAATTCGTGATGCATAACACTCAACACCACTTGGCACTGATGAAGTCTGCAAGTAGTAGACGAAATACGCGTATCTGTCAAAAGATCAGCAATTATAACGGAATTTAAAGGAAATAAACCAACACACTCAAAGCACTTTATAAAGAGATTCCGTTAAGAGGTTCGACAAATTTAAAGGATTGAGTAACTGTTTCTCATTAGGTGGGTAAAAAGTTTCCCCCTTGATTAGTTATGTACCTTTTCATCAAAATGGGTGAAATTTCACTCATTAATGGGCACTTTAAAGTTACCGTGTAGGTCATATGTGTCCATTACCGTGTGCATGTCAATCATATTAGGTAGCACCTGAGAGATAAAGTATTACCGGTGATATGCCCTCGCAGCATCGTCCAGTAGGTACAAAAGAAAAAAAAATTAACGTCGAGTTTCTCTATTTTTGAAGTGTAATACAACTTTATGAAGCTAAACTTGAAGGGTTGCAATCAATCTGTTTGAAACATCTAGTTGGAAAACATAAATAATATTATCCTTGCCTACAGACACTTGTGCTGCCCCCTAGCCATCAAACTGTGGAAAGCGTATTTCGCCCGGTATCATAACTTTTTTTGTGAAGAGACTATAACTATGAGAATTATTACATACGACCTCCTTTGTAAAACTTTTCACGTCAAAAAATCCCTTCCCCTTCGAGTATGTACCTAATTTTTCCTCCCAGGAGTGCGTACTTTAGTCATCCTAGAGCACGTGGAGGAGGAAAAACGAACTCTCACTATATGGTCGTAAGACTCATTTTTCCTCACATTACGTACACATTAAACGGATCCCTTCACAACCGACGGTAGACTTTGCGACCATCCCGGGAATGGCAAAAAAAAAATCCGTCAGAACCATTACTCTCGTTTTTCCTGCTTCATCGCCATCATCATCATCAGGCCAAATTTACGCCTATCATTATTCATAAAAATGCGCCCATCGACGACGGCAGCAGACCAGACAGGGCCAAGACACCTTTATGGACCTAGAGTAGAGGCCAACACTGCCCGCAGAGGAAGTCAGTTGGTAATGGCCATTAGCACAAAGGCACCACACCGACATGAAACCCCTTTATCATCGTCATCAAAGTCAACGGCATGCGGTGTGGGTGGTTTTTTTTTTGGTTTTGGGTTCCGAAGGAATGCCCCCGTGGACATTGATGTTGGTGGGCCTCTGCCTACGGTGCCAAAAGTGGGACATCGCTTGAATACTAAGTAAGTCAAACTCGTCTCGGACCAGTAGACCTGACCAGTAATGGTAGGTACTCTTCATGCTCACCTAATTTTCCCTTTCAAGTGCTACTGGTCGACTGAAATTTAATTACATTGTAAAGAAATTAATTAATGTGGATAATTTCATAGTACTGTATGAATGCCATTCTTGGAAAAGAACATTCCATAACCTAAACTCCTGCAGAGGCACCAGCATCAGCATTACAACCAACCGAACACGTTTTCTCTGCATTAAAGCCATAAACTATCACAACTATTATTATGGGAGAAACAAAAGACCCACAATCAGAAGGATTTTTGCTTGGAGCCCGGTTCTCCGGGAGCACAGCTTCCGAGTCTTGTTTCAGCCAGTTCCTTTCGCATCCTCACTACCACACGGGAAGTGGGCCAGGAGTCTCTTGTATTCATTGAACCAACTTTCTCCCGCAAGCAAACACACTCAGCTTACAGTTGAGTTTTTCACTGCGCGGGAATTTTCTGGCCGTTCTTATGCTTCGCAGTTGATGGAAAATTCCCATGGCATGCATTACAACGCTTATAAGATTGGAATTGAAAAGTTTATTTGGTTTATTTGATGACAGCTTCATATTTTTCAAAAAGGTTTTTGGGAATTATGAAAACATTAGATGGTATAATGGTATTTGACATATAACACCTGTCAGTTTCACATTCAGCTAGTAACAATCAGTGATTTTATGATTGATGAATATTCACTGATCGTATTGTTACATTGACGATTGGCTTTTATGAATTTAAAGCTGGTATGACTTTTCAGCGTTGTGAATGCGAGTGCGTGATTATTATCTCAAGCGTGAATTTTGTTTGCCGCATTCTCACGCAAGTTTATTCTCGGAAGGAGGCTCAATGACTGAGATTTTAGAATGATTTTCTGAGCACTGCTGGTGCTGTCTAGTGGCTTATTATTTCCAAAAAAAAATCCATGTGTTCCACACAATTTTGGAAAGAGACAAGGAGTGTTCAACTCTGCACTTCGATGGGATAACAGGACTTTGTGGGGATGTCCATAATATTTTGAAAGATTTATAAGTACTGCTCTTAGCTCTTGACTCGTGAATCGCCCACGTTTGTCATCTATGAGGAGCTGAGTGGATTGGGTGGAAACTTCTCTAGTTCTATACAGACCAACTCAAGTAACCAACATGCTCACTAATCGCCCTTTTTGCAAAAAGTTCGGAAGCCCTTTATTTACCTTATATCGCAAAAAGGACAATTATCGGGTAGTTAGCGGCCTTGGTGGTTACTTGGGTACAGGCGCCGGATAAAGCGCTTCCGCTGAAGTCAGTGGTGGACGAGAATCCTATTTCCGAAGCATGACAGATCTTCAGAGGGAGATGTTTGATAGTTTTCATTGGTGGTGGGAAGGTACCACAACTTAATCAGATCGAAGTTTGATAGGCTTGAAAGGTAGGCGATACGATAGGCTTGGATTATATCTTTGGGGAGATGCACTTCTGAATCGATCATATGATTTAAAACTGGTTCGATAATATTGCTCCTGGCGTGGGATTGAACTATCGCCTGTTCGAGTTATGGGTTTACTTTAGTCGGGGAGGGATTTCTTTCATCATTGATCGGATTAATCCTTTGTTTCTGAGCACCTGCAAGGCATCAATAATTCAAAAAGACAGCGAACCAGAATATCTCACAGAATATTGTGGACGGGTTGAATTTGCATGATGGTTTCCAGTTCCTCTTCTACCTGCAGACCCGCTAACGCTCTAATGAGAATCAAGGTGAATGCTTGCCATGATCCATCAGAGAAATTGAGATTGTAAAGACAATAATAAAAGTCAAAATTTTCGGGTTGCCAAACTCATGGAATATTGAAATTATGATAGGCATACTCTGATTGTCCTTGTCGTCACAACGCTTGGCACAGCTTTCGGCACAACTCAATCACTCGGTACAAATTAATGTGTGCAGAGTTGAATGCCCCTTGGTTTCGGTACAGTGTGCAGAGTTAATTACCCCCTGCATGAAACTTTCACCTGTTTATTGTAAACTATGGCCGTCACTAAAATCGCAGTAACCTGCTTCTAAAAGAAATAAATAATATCAGTCTGACGTAGTGAACACCCACTAAAATCCCCCGCAATGAATGAACACAATCAAGATCCCGATCAAGTTCATGGGCAATCAACAGTGCCAGCCGTTGGCGCACCCACATTTGATGCCCAACTTCTGCATCGATATCTCTCGCACGATGACATTGAGGAATTGTATAACCTTTTTTTCTCCAGGCGGGATCAGATACTTCCTCATGAGCTACGCGAGGAACTGTACCGTCTCACCGGAGTGCAGCTCAATGATGCACAGTTTGAAACGCTATTTATGAGAATGAACACCAACCTGGATGAGTACTGCCAATGGGATGAACTGCTAAGCTACTTGATTCTGGGACTACAGAACGATGACCCAATGGCGACGATGGTGGTGCAGGAGTCATTGGATCTACCCATATCGTGCGACACGGAACGGAAACTTCCGGGGCAAACCTATCCAGTGACGAAAATCGAATATAGTCCATTGTTTACCTATGTAGGGTTGGGTGAGTTGTTTCGTAAAAAGATGTTTCGATTATGTGCCCTCCAACCGTAGGACGAACATGTCAACTGGGACAAAGGGTTCTGGATCACTTCAAGCCGCGAAGGTGAGATCAATTTTTGGGATCGTGATTGGAAGCACACCAAAATTGGGAACGCCTGCAGCGGTATGCTCCGAAATTGTTCTATGTTTTACAAGTTTTTCAACCATGGAAATTTTCACAGTCGATCTCAAGCGCACCATAACAAGGATCCTGGATACAGCAGTCCTTCCGGACCAGCACTACTTTTGCGTCACATGTTTGGAGTGTGAACTTCGCTTCTACGATATTTTTGCAACTGGGTTCACCCTGAAAATGATTGTCAATCGAATTCCCAATGCAATCAACAAGTTGCACTATCATTTTTCCCCCACTACTGGAAGCATAATGGTGCTCGGTGACTACGTCGGATTTGTCCGGGTGCTGCAGTTCAAAGATAAGTTCGATCCGGCTACCGACGTTATAAGAATGACGTTCCTGGAACTGATCGAAGGATCATGTCGACAAATGACGTGTACAGACTATGGTCGGCTACTTCCGGACATTGTACGGCAAGTGCAGTTTGTGGAATCGACCAATAGCATCGTGGTATGCTCGGAAAATGATCCTTTAGACGACAGCACGTTGCAAACATCATTGGTGATTCAAGATGCTGAAAAACTGGACAGGAAGACGGAGTTCGTGGCTCAAAAGGGTGTATTGTGTTTTGCGTTCAATCATGAGAAAGACTTTCTGGCGACCGGTGGTCCGGATGGAAAACTAAGGTTATGGGATTGTCAGCACCCAGGCGAACCAACGGCGACTTTGGCGGGGCACAGAGCCAGAGTAGTTTTCCTCTTTCTACAGGATGGATCTGACAAGCTGTACAGTATGGATTGCCTAAAGATCGTGATAGTTTGGGACGTACGGAATAAAGCTTTGATTCAGAAGTACAGTGCTTTCTCGACAAACTTGCACAGGACTCTTCAGGCTTGCGCTTACTACAACGACCGGGATCGTGAGCTGTTGGTGGGTGCTAATAAAGTATTGGCTGTTAGCTGTTGTCCGAAGATTAAGGTTGAGGTTACCGATGGAAAAAGTCATACTCTACCGATTTCTGTTTTGTTGTACAACCCACTGTTTAAGATGGTTGTGAGTTGTGGCTTGGATAGTTTCATTATAGTTTGGGACTATACCAACAATCGAAGGTTAACAGTAATTGCCGACGCTCATACAGAAGAAATCCATGGTATAGTAGAGAAGGTCCAGATTACAGCTGCCTGTTTCGATCCGAAGCTTCAGCTGCTGATTACTGGTGATCGCATTGGCATTTTGAAGATATGGCATTTTAACAGCGGTTCACTGATGAGTTCCATGAGTATCGAAAAGAATTGTGAAGTAACGGCTATATTTTGGGAACCTAGAGGTATCCTGGCCATGGGATGGAACCACGTGATAGTCGAGTTTCCAGTAGGATCATCCGAAATGGAATTCCTCTGTGGTAATCCGTGGAAGAAACTTCACTTTGGTGATATTATATGTGCAGCGATAAATCACACAAAGTCCAAAACGATAGCCACCTGCAGCTACTCGGGAGAGCTCATTTTTTGGAGGATTGACACTGGAGAAGCATACCGAAGGTACGATGCAGCCAGACCGAGGCAGAAGATCCCCATCGATTTGGAGAGGAAGCCTGTGGCAATACGTAGACGAACGAGGATGTCGATATTTCAACCTCAACGGCGGCTGACCAGGATCGTACTGCCCACGGCGGCGGAGCTGCTCCGACAGCTGACCATTTATAAATTACTGTTCCTGGAAGCACGACCACGGCATCCCGAATATGGCACTCTGATCGCATCGCTGGACACCGGGTCGGTGCAGGTTTATTCGCACGATCTGTACGGCGAGTACCTTGGGTCATTCAGTGCAGTGCACAAGGCTGGTGATCGGGTTATTGCCATGACGACTGATCCGGAAAATCGATTCCTGTTCACTGGGTCCCGCTTGGGTTACGTTAAAGTTTGGTTAATTGAGGACTATTGGTAAGGAAGTACAATGTCGGATGATCGAAAAATGCATACATTTTCCTTTTCAGCGTTCCAGAAGCTCGTCAACCCAAAGTGAATCGTCCTGCTTTGAGGATGAAGTTTCCGTTTCTACTGGATGACGTAGTGCCGGGTCGAGCCAAACGGTCGGTGGCCAATCAACCTAAGCCTTGGCTGCTGAATTCCTACCAAGCACATCGAGCTTGTGTGACCGACTTGGTTTACCTGGCTGATTCGGAGCTACTTCTATCGTGAGTGACTTCAATCTAAACTTAGTAGGGAATCTGTGAAAAAAACAATATTTGTGGATTGACTTTATCCGATTTGTATGAAATTTTGCGTTATTTGTTGTTATGAGAAAAGCTTCACATTTTTGCTAAAATTCGTCCATTTTGGATCACAACATATTTTAAAAATGGCGTCCATGAAATTTTCCGGAAAAATTCAGCATTTCTGATCAAAATGACGTCGAATCAAAGTTTTAGAGAACAACAATGTCTTTCTGAAAAATGAGCATGGTTTTTTGGTACTTTAAGTTTCAAAACGCAAGAAGTTGTACTAAAGACACGACCGTACAAATTTTTCATGTAAATTTAGGTCAATTTTGACATAAATTTGAGTCATAACAGACGCGAAATATAGCTCAATCAAACGTAAGTTTCGTCGAGCAACGAACTTTTCAGTCTTTTTTTCCTTGATTTGTTTTCCGTCGATTTAGTTTTTCGTACAGAGTACCAATGCTACCGACGTGCCAGGAAGGCAGTTCCCACACCTGGACCCTACCTATCGACTCATCAATTCATGAACCGGGGACCAACGGCTTTACTTCCCTTCGGAAGGAAGGTGTGATCAGATATGTTATGCCTCAGAACACTCCGACGGCGCTGACTGGGATTGAACCCAGGCCTGCTGGGGTGAGAGTTAATCACGCTTACCATTACACCACCGGCTACTAATTGTAAGAGATTGGTGAATGAATTATGAAATTTGTTTGCGAAACCACCGAGATCCAGCTGGTTGAACTTTTAGGACCGAGTGATTCATGAACCTGGTATTCAGCGATAGTATTTAGCTCCTTATAATTCCAGTGTTAATGCAGATTACGAAAATGCATTCCTTAATACCCTTAGAGAACCCAATTCTTGTGACCTACATTCTCTTCTTTGACTTTTGAAAAGCAAAACTTTCTAATTTCAGATCCAGCAGCGATCGATCGATTCGCATTTGGACCCTCGGTGGTCGCTACGTAGGACTGCTTGGAAGCCCTGTCAAATGGCCCACTCTTGAGCTGAACAGTCCCGTCCCCAGTGGGTACCGCTTCCGGATCCCACCGGAGCTAGAGCGGGAGGTGAGTTTCACCACCGCTCAAGTGTTGCGAGGTGGCGAACGGTGCGTTAACTTTAGCCGACTGGTGCAAGAAGAAAGCCAAAGCCAAATCCGTACTGGAACGGTGATCGAAACCTATGGAGAACCGTTGGATCCGCCTTACTGGAAACGGAAAACATTTCCCTTCGGACAACGAACCAACTACCATCCGGTTCCAAAGATGGACCCCGAAGACCGAGGTATGATCGCGTATGGGTATTTGAGACTTGCAGAGATGAAAACATTGAAGCTGCTCGATAGCAAGAAGATGCTGACTGAGGCGGAACAGGTGGACGTCTACGTGGACAGAATTGATTCGTATAGTTTTCAGGATAAAAGTGCTTGGGAAAACTAAATTGTTGTCTATTAAATGACTTCATGTCCAAATCAAGAACTAGTAAACAAATCTTATCGTTTATCGATCACATTAAATGCTATGGGTCAAACTCAAAATGTTGATCATCTCATCTTGTTTATAATTAAAAAGGCTAAAGGCCCAAACGCAATGACAGCGGAAGCGGCAGCGGAAGCGGCAGCGGAAAAGCCCGATCTGAGTAAGCGTACTTGTCGGATTGAAAACTAGTTAGAAGCAAATCGACATCGGTTAGGCTTCTTGATGTCATTTGTGACAACTGTCAAACTTTCCGTTTCCGTTCCGCTTCCGTCCACATTGCGTTTGGGCCTTAATGCTTTGACCAATCGTGGGAAAATTTATGCACGGACATGAAAATCACAGAACTAGGGTTACCATCCACACTGACTAAATCGAAAATCAGTCACATATGGATTTTCGTCAACAACGCTATTCACTATCAATTGGCATCAACTCTCATACTACGTGATAAATAGGGGAAATGGATGTAATGTCAGCCTAAATGCCCCTAATTTGGGCCCATACATAAATTCAGCAATCGACTAAATTTTCAAGAACGACCAAAATTATCCAGTAGTACCGTACATCTAGATAAAATTGATAAATAGCCGATTTTTGACCATGGGTCCAATCTTAGATCCGAAGGTCAACATTAGAGCCATTTCCCCTATTTATTTTTCCCCTGAAGTTTTGGTTTTCTTTTTCGCTCAAAATTCCTGTGTCGTGAGAATTTGTTCGATGTGCAGTGTACACTGATTTAGTATCGACGCACCCCTCGATCCACCCAGCGACAACATCGAACGCCTAAATCCAACACTGGATTCCGGTCACCATCCGTAGAAGAACGAGTAAGGCTCTGAACCATTTGGTGGATTATTTTAACTTTTGGTTAAAATTTGACAGATGAAAAGTTATCGATTAACCCTGCTATCCGAGCATGGTTATTTCTGACAGACAAGAAGTTAAATTTTGACAACCGTGGCTCGAAAACCGGTCGATCGACAGCACGGGGATTTTCGAACATAGAAAATAACTTTCGAAATGTCACTTTTAACCACGAGTTAAATTTAACTCGGCAAATGGTTCACAGCCTAAGCGAAAGAGAGTAGACCAGTGATGCAAAATATCATGACACTCGTCTTCGCATCAACCGACTATCGCTGACAGATCGTTTTGTCACGCAGTGAGAGTTAGAGCCATGGCAAACCAATGAGGTAAAGAGAGAGGTGAAGCAGATCGTGAAATATTGTTGTATTAGTAAACCAAAAAATCAACGTAAACGCAAGTAGTGACGTCACTAATTGCTTGCATCGTACACGGGTTTTACTCACACAACTTAACCGATTGCTTCACCTCTGTAATCCAGCTCAATGATGGCAAACAACAATCACCAGTAATGGTAGCTGCTCACAAGCAAAACGTTACACTCGCTGTTGGTGATCTAAAGCACAACGAAAACAGTGAAGACTTCTACAGTATGATCATGAGAAAAAGCGAAACGACAGAAGAAAATGAATACAATGCCTACGTATTCCAAGTTCGTCTCGGCACGCACGACTGTGTGAGTTACAAACAATGCTGGTAAAATTAAACGGAAGCTGTTGGGTTCACTCACATAAGCAAGCAAAGCAGCAACTGCTTCAAAACGAGTACAGATGAGTGTCGTGATTGTCGGGAATGACCGGATCGATGATAGATCACAACAAAAGACGACATTCACCAGTTGCTTTTTACTTCTTTCATCAACTTGATGGATGGTCATGGAGAGAGCTTCGACGAGCACATTGATAGGAATGTACAAAGCGTTACTACCATCAGCTGTTTGGCGATCGTGATTGTGATAGGTCGTAACTCTGGAGTAGACAAGTGCGTGCATAAGAAGAAACACAAAATAAAAAAAGCAAGTTGTTCTTTTTCGAAGAGAGAAGGTGGTATTTTTTCATGCAAATAATTTGTTTTTAATACAGTCCGTTAATTCCGAAAACATTTGGTCCTGCGAGAACCGGAATTTTGGATTATGGAGAAATTGATCAGCAAAAGAAGTGCTTTGATTGCTAGGGGGGGAGGAGAGCTTTCGGTAGTGAAAGACCTCCAATCTCCATCATCGGAATCCATCACGGAGCGAGGTTATGGATCGACTGGACCAGCTCAAGCAACTAGCGGATAGTTTCCGTGCTACTCAAGATGAAATCGAAGAACAATTGGAGAATCCGACGGTTATTGCTTCAGTGTTGGACGTGCGGGAGGAGTTTTTTGGAGCCTACTACAAGGTGAGAAATATTCTCGAGGATTTGGTCGAGGATGTCGAAACGACAGCGAGTCAACAAACGGTAGCCGATTCTACAGACTGGAAGGAAGCTATGAAGCTGCTTATGGAGACGCAGCGGCAAATGTTGATCAACCAGTCGACGATTTTCAAAAACACCAACAGCCTAGCGGGACCGGTACAGCGTGGTGAACAATTCAACGATGGTGAGATGCCGAGAGGCGGTCAGGTGTCGAATGGTTCACACCAACTAAACGTGAAGTTGCCAGCAATAAACATTCCACCTTTCATTGGAGACCGCAAAAAGTGGATGACATTCAAGGATATCAACGTGTCTAGCGCTCACGGCAGGAACGATCTCACGGATTCCTTGAAAATGCAGTATCTTTTCTCCTACCTGTAAGGAGATGCGAAGAAATTAGGCTGTGAACCATTTGCATAATTAAATTTATTTCGTGGTTAAAAGTGACATTCCGAAAGTTATTTCTTATGTTCGAAAATCCCTGTGTTACCGATCGATTGGTTTTCGAGCAGAACTCAGCCACGGTTGTCAAAATTTAACTTCTTGTCTGTCAGAAATTACCACGCTCGGGTAGCAGGGTTAATCGATAACTTTCCATCTGTCAAATTTTAACCAAAAGTTAAAATAATCCACCAAATGGTTCAGAGTCTTAGTCAACAAATTCACCATCTCTAGTGCCAACTATACTAATGCGTGGGAGATGCTCATTAGTCACTACGACAAGGAGCAATACACTGTGTTTGCGTTGGTACGTGAGTTCATGGACCAGCAAGTCGTGACACAAGCTTCACTGCAATCACTAAACAAACTCGTGATGACACTGGCTGAGGTTGTCCAACAGTTGGATGCGTTAGGAGAGGAATACCAAGGCCGCGATCCGTGGCTGATTTACTTGATGCTAGGAAAGCTGGACAAAGATACCCGCGCTGCCTGGTCGGAGAAAGCTGCTGAAAACGAGCATCCAACGTTTGAGGAGCTTATGACGTTTGTGAAGAAGCGGTGTGAGATGCTGGAAACCTGCTCAGCATTCTCGAAGAAAGCGGAAGTGAACAAGTGAAAATGGAAGTGAGTGAGAAAAAATTGAAGACATTAGTGATAACTACAATCTACCAAAAGTGCGCGAAGTGTTCAAGAGAATACGCTACGTTCGTTTCTGAAGAATTCAAGAAGATGGATCTGCAGGAAAGAAGAGAGTTGGTACAACAGGCGACGCTGTGTTTCAATTGCTTACGAAATCGTGTCCCTCGAAATCAGTGTGCCATACACCGGACTGCAAGCAGCGGCACCATACGTTGCTGTGCCCAAAGGCGAGCAAGGTGAAGGAAACACTAACGACAGCAAGCAACCCAACCAAAGATCCACCAACCGACGATGAGGAACCGGCGATTTCGTCACTCATGGCAGCAGTTGAGAAGCAATCATCGATTCCGGTGCTTCCAACAGCTGTAGTGCAGGTGCAAAAGGAAGATGGTACGTTTGCTTGTGCTAGGGTACTTATTGATTCTGGTGCACAGGCATCGATGGTCACGAAGGATTGCGTACGGAAGCTAGGACTCGTCAGGCGTAATGGGAAGCTAGTGGTTACTGGTATCGGACAGCAAGCTGCAGGTACCACTCGCGGAATCGTCACGCTGCATCTTGCATCTTGATTCAACGAAGTCATTGTGATCTCTACAAGTGCCTATGTCCTTGGCAAGTTGACGTCGTCTTTTCCATCGCAAAGATTCAACATCGGAAACGTGAAGCTTTTGGAAAACGTCCGGGAAATGGCAGATCCTACCTTCAACAAAGCTGGACAAATTGATGTGATTCTTGGATCAGATGTCTTTCTTGCTCTCTTGGAGGGAGGCCAAGTCAAGGACAACAGCGGCCAAATGGTGGCCCAGCGTTCTGTTTTCGGATGGATCGCAGCGATACGATACGACGAAGCAGAGACCATGCAAGGGAATCATGTCGTTGTAAGTTTGCATAAATCGAACGCTACAGCAGTTTTGGGAGTACGAGGAGATAAACAAGCCACCTCAGCTCACTCCGTCTGAAAAGAAGGTCATTGAGCATTCCAATTCGACCACCCAACGCGATAGTTCAGGGCGCTTCGTCGTAAAACTGCCTTTTGACGATTCGAAGGCCGCCCTTGGAGAGTCCCTATCAGCTGCGATGAAGAGGCTCTTTGCTATGGAGAAGCGATTTGCTTCAAACCCGGAATTCCGGAAGGAATATGTCAGCTTCATGCGCGAGTATTTGGAGCTTGGTCACATGGAACCAGTTCCGGCAAATCAAGTGGTAAAAATTGGTTCCGAGCACTACTATTTACCGCATCACGCGGTGATCAGAGTGGACAGCACACAACAAGACTTCGCGTCGTTTTTGATGCTTCTTGTGCCACTTCTACTGGAATATCGCTCAACGATCGGTTGTTGGTGGGGCCCAACATCAACGAGGATTTACTATCAGTGCATTTGCGGTTTCGCTCGTACAAGGTGGCGTTTCGTGCGGACGTAGCTAAAATGTACCGCCAAGTGGTAATGCATGAGGAAGACCGTGATTTTCTGCGTATCGTATGGCGTGAGGACTCGGAGAAGCCAGAGGAACACTATCGTCTTTCTACGGTGACGTACGGTACGAAAACCGCACCATACCTTGCAATTCAAGCGATGAGAGAATCTACCATAGGATATGAAACTACGCATCCGG